GCACCAATATTATACCCTTTAGAGTTTTCAGGTGTGTCAAGAGCCTACTCACTGAGAGCTTGAGGGTGCTCCCAGGGACACATACCCGGTTGTCTGCATTGTCTATGGAAGCCCCTTTCCCTAGGGCTTGAAATGAGGGCCAAGCAACTCTACCTGATGCCCCAGGGTGGAGTGTGTGCCACTCCTAGTTCATTGAAAGCTCTCTCCTGAAATTCTCATCTAGTTTTATTTTTATCTTGACCTTTCCACCTTGGTGATGGGTTAAGAGTTACAAAACCAGTTTTTGGAAACCTCCTTTGCAAGTGCTATGTGGTAGTCCTTCACCTATGGAAGGTGGACATAGTTGACATCTATTGTCTTGGGGGACAAATGCAAAACTGAGTCTGACATAGTTCCCTTTTAACCTCCCGTTATGTGCAGATCTCACAAATTCAGTGCCTTTCTTAATCTTTAAGTAAAAGGTACATCCAGACACTGGAGAGTAGTGCTAAAACAAACTATTAGGGAACTGAAATGACCATAAAAGAACATAATGAACAAGCAGAAATAATCCAACCAGCACCTTAGTTTTGATTCTGGCATTGCTTTTTACTCCAGAAGCAAGAGTTGAAAGAAACTGACCTGCATTTTAAAATGTATTTTTTAATGGTCAAGGAATATGCTATATTTCTTCAAATTTGTTAAAAATAGAAACTCAAGAGTTGGATGGCATCATGGTTAGGGAAGAAAAATTCTGTAACTGAAATAGATGGTTTTAGTAATTCACATGTCTCAATTTGTATTCTAGTCATAGCATACTTCTTAAAAGGGTGGTAAAAATAATGTGTTTTCTCTTTCCAAATTCATTTGTCTAATTTCTGTAACATACACCCTCACAACGAATTACTAACTCAGGGACAAGAGGTAGAGAAATTACAGAGGTTGCTAAGAATACCTGCTGACTCTTATTTTCTACTTCTGCTTTAGAAGTTGTTTAGAAAATTTAATCAAGACAGGCTTACTTCCAATAGAAACAGAGAGTGAATACATGTGCTTCGGAGCAGGTTTTTAGGAGAGAGCTTTCCCCATGGAACTGTGACCATATTGGGGAAAGAAGAGCTCAGAAGACATGAGTTATGCTTCTCTTGCCTGGGGAGGTGTTTGCTTAAAAAACATGCTGCCCAAGTATTTAAGCCTTCAGGTTAGCCTTTTTCCAACTGTTGGCAGAGTGAATGAGCATAAACTATATCTGATGAACTACAATTAGCACAAATACTCATTTTGAAGCGGATAAAATTATTTCAAAACTGAACGAAAATTGTTTAGTAAGAGAAACTTGTACTTCCTACAAAAGGACTGGATTTTTTTGCTCCACCTTTTTAGTAAAGTTTAGTAAAATTTTGTTTAGTTAGCTAGAATGAACAGAACAGTTTGGGAATACATTTTATTCATTTTTTTAAACTAAAGGTTAGCAAACCCTGGCAGAAAAACCAAATGTAGCCTGATACCTGTTTTTTGTAAATAAAGATTTATTGGAACATAGTCGTGCTTGTTTGTTTACAAATTGTCTCTGGCTACATTTGCATTGCAACAACATTGTTAAGTAGTTGGGACAGAGACCATATGGCCTGCAAAGCCTAAAATATTTACTATCCTGTTCTTTACAGGAAAAGTTTGCAGATCCCTGTTCTAGATTAATGAAAGTACTCAGTATCGGTGTTTTTGTGGTTATATGTGGCATAAATGGCTGTTAATTCTCTGAATTATTATTAATTTTAAATATTTCAGTGTCTTTTGTACTTGATTATATATTTCATTAAAACAACTGAATCAATTCTGAAAATTGGTATGGCCTGTTTGCCTAAAGGACAATACACTGGACATTACAAAACTCATTTCTGCTTTTCAAATCCCTTGGACAGTAAAATAATTTATTTGTTGATTTGCATTTTACTACTTACAAGCACCTTGGGAAGACATTGTGTAGTAGAAAGCATGCTGTAAGCACTCACTTACAAAATGTTTTCTAGATTTATTGGAACAATTTAAAATGTCAGTGAAAAGAAAAACTTTTCTTCCTTTGTGTTCTTCGGTTTTCTATGATGGCTGGATGCTTCCACTCCTTGGGGCATTCATGTTCCTTCTACGTAAAGGGCAGAGAGTTAAGGTTACTCTGTGGATCATTTGCCTCTTCAGGGTTGTTTGATCCTTCTCAAGAGAAGATTATTTTAATGTGTTGCAGGAGATGCTGCCTAATAACTGAGGCTGATTTATTGAGTACTGTAAGAACCAGACTGGGGACAAGAATGGACCCATTTATTAATTTATACTTATGTTTATTTAACAAACATTGAAGGCATGCTTTACCAGGTTCTGTGCTCTCAAGGATTTCATAGTCTCTTACAGGAGATGGACACGAAGCAAGCGATTATCATATATTGTGTTAGGCAAGATGATTGAGTTATAGACAGGATATTATAGGAGAGAAGGGGCATCTAACCCACCATGGGGAGAGGGCAATCAAGAAAAGCTATTTGAAAGAGGCTAAATCCAGATCAATAAATCCAGGACATTCTGTCAGAAATTGAGGTGGAGATGTCTAGCAGGTGGATTTGAGTCTCAATCTGGGATAGAGATAAGGAAAATGGCAGTTAAAACCCTGAAGAGTGGGAAGAGGGCTCAGCATGGGAAAAGCTAACATTTAAGGATCAGAAACAGGTGCATAAAGGAAACAAGGAAGGGGTCAGAGAGATATTTAGGAGTAACAAGAGAACAAAAGACAAGAGTGTTTAGAGACTGAGTGAGGGGATGGAGACGGTCAATGGAAAGATGGAAAATCCAGGATTGATCAGGGACTGGCAGTGTAGGAGGACGAGGGGAGATGAAATTCATTTCAAATATAATCTAATGTAAACTACTTGTGTGTTAAACAAATGATGACCTAAAACTTAGTTTCAGGCTGTTGTTTTAAGTAGGCTCAAATAAGTAAGTTGATTTCCTATATTTGTAAAAGCCAATAATTTTTATTTAATCAAACACACATTTATTGAGCACTTATTTTGTACTAGGTTGACACCTCAAGGGACAAACTATGAGGGATACAAAAATGATCAAAAAATGAAGTAGCAATATTTAAGCTAAGCCCTGGAAAATGGGGAGGGATGGAAGTACATGTAAGTCAAGAATAGGCAAGAGTTAGAGCAAAAACACAGTGCATGAAACCCCAGGACCCTGTCAGTCTTGAATTATCATTCTTGACTATGTCTGTCTCCACCACTAGACCCTCTAATGCTGAGGACTGTGATTTATAGAGCCTCAGATGGTGTTTTGCATGTCGTATTTACTCAGTTAATGTTTGCTATACGAATGAAACTTGAGAAACAGAAACATCATAATTGTTACTTATTCCATAGTCTTGCCTGTGCTGGCCTCAGTAATAAAGCAAAAACTAACTTAAAGACTAACATTCCTATGTTCATCAGTAAACAGATAATAGGTAAATTACCTTCTTGATTTGACTTTTGAGAATGACATGTTAGAACTTATAAATGAATCAAATACATGTAATTTATAATGTTACTATATGATATGAAAACAATTTGAGATAGAAGCCACAAATATGAAATTCCTTAAGACTTTGATCAAAACAACACAATTTCTTGAGATTTCCTTTTTTTTTAAAAAAAAAATTTTTTATTTTTCAACAACAGCTAACCAAAGATGGGATCTTCTTTACATGACAATGTTGAAATCAATTTATACACAATTTATTTGTTAGCATGTTAGTGATTATATTTGTTTTATATTTTGAAGTGAACTATGGCCTTCTTTTAGGACTGAACAATAACTTCTTGGTGTACAGATGCTTTAGATTAACCAAGGGTACTTGTTAACAAAAGCTATTATTTTATAGCTACATCTCAATGTTTGAGTTGATAAATTTGGGAATTAAATTTACAATACAAATTTCATTAGTGGAATTACATAGCCAGTTTGGAGAGGTTCTATTTATTGTGCTACCTTGATTAGAATGAACGATTTAGAAATATGAAGAGTTGACTGGGCATGGTGGCTCACGCCTGTGATCCTAGCACTTTGGGAGGCCGAGGTGGGCAGATTGCTTGAGCTCAGGGGTTTGAGACCAGCCTGGGCAACATGGCAAAATCTCATCTCTACTAAAGAAAAAAAAAAACAAAAACAAAACCAAACGTTAGCAGGGCTTGGTGACTCGCCTCTGTAGTCCCAGCTAGTTGGTGGGCTGAGGCAGGAGAATCGCTTGAGTCCAGGAGGTTGAGGCTGCAGTGAGCCATGTTTGTGCCACTGTACTCCAGCCTGGGTGACAAAGTGAGACTCAAAAAAAAAAAAAAAACAGAAGAAGAAATATGAAGAGTTAGATAAATGATACGGTAATAGCCCACATGTTTTCTTGTTGATTGTGGAAAAGGAAATAATTAGCAGTATCTATTATAACAGCATAGGATGTATTGATTTAAGGATTATAGTAGAAAATAATTCAAGGAATTGGAAAGGTGAAGCATGTCATTCCCTGAAGATTTTCCATCCTTAATTATTCATAAGTATTTGAGTTATGTGTAACTTCACTTTCTCCATTAATTTTTGATAATGATATCCAAAACAAATCTGAAGTTATTTGTTAGTTTGACCTGTGTTATCCTTGCTTCATAAATTCCTGAATTATCTAGTTTAATCTAGTTCTTATTTCACAAATGATGGAAGTCAGATTAAGCAGTTTGTTTAAATGACCTGTAATGAATTATAAAGATAGGTCACCTTTTTATGCTAACGGGTTGGCAAGAAAAATTCCTGAAATTTTACGGGCTTCATGCTGCAGTTGTCTACAAATACACTTCCATAAATGAAAATAAACAGGTTTGTTCATTGTATCATTATAAATGTAATTTAAAAATTAATTTTCTAAATTGTTTTATGCAAGTAAGCAAGCAAGCAAAATAAATAAAAACTCTTATATTTTCTTGTCTTTTTTTTCCCCTGCCCAATAGGACCAGACATATTATCAATCATTTCAGGTTTCAGAATATGGTAAGAGTTCCTCAACCTACTTTGGAAGAAAAAAGCATTTGTTACTTTCAGCAGAGATTAGAGAAATTTTTAAGAGATGTGTTATTTGAAGTAAAAATATCAATGGAGTTAAAATTCTGGTGTTTTTTACAGGCCTAAACATATTTTTTTCCTTTGTAAAATTTCTAAAATCTCATTATACAGAAAAAAGTAGAAAAAAATCACTTATAGTTGTATTATGCTAGTCTTTTTCTTATCCACAACATGATTTTTCTATTTTTCTACTTTGTCGTGATCATAAAATATTTAAAATGTTGCACTTAAAAATACTTAACAAATTCTCTTCCATATTTTTCATTTGATTGGCATTGGTAAAGATGGTCTGTTTCTCAGGTAAATCCTTTTCTTGCAGGTGCCATACTTACAATATCAGTTAGAAACCCATAGATAAAAACAGTGGTACCCATCTATTTTGTTGGTGAATGGAGAGGAATGAGAGATGAGAGTGAAAGCATAGGATCTTAGTATTAGTTATAATTTGAGTAGTTATTTTGAGGTTACACATGGAGTTCTTCATTTGATTTGAGCTTCTTTTTGAGATTGGGTTTTATTTAGGCAGTAGAAATTATAATATGCAGGTAGTAATATCTCAGGCTCTGTAGGCCATATGTGTCTGTCATTACTACTCAACTTTGCCTTGGTAGCATGAGAGCAGCCAAAGATAATATGTACATGATTGTTGCTGTGCTGCAATAAACTTCATTTTATGGGCATGAAAATTTGAATTTCATGTAATTTTCATATGTCATGAAATATTTTTCTTTTGATTTTTTCCAACCAGTTAAAAATTGTAAAAAATGTTCTTGGTTCATGCTGGTCATAGTTTGCTGAAGTCTGATCTGTAACTGTGCTCTCCAGTAGCGGGGCCACTTGCCATGTGTGGCTCTTGAGCGCTTCAAATGTGGCTAGTCCAAATGGAGACACCAGATGTCAAAGACTTAGTACAAGAAAAATGAAAGCAAGAAAAATAGTTCATTAATAACCATTTTTAAATTTTGATTATTTGTTGAAATGATAATCTTTTAGATACATGGGGTTAAGTAAAATATAAAAATTAATTTCACCTGCTTATTTTTACTTTTAAAATTTGGCTACTAGAAATGAAAAATTACACATATGGCTCCCATTTTATGTCTTTTAGACAGCCCTGATCTAGAAGAATAAATCATAGGGGACCAACATTTTTGTAGGCTATCTTTATATCCCATTGTGGTGGTATACTGGGTGGTTGTATGTTGTTGCATGAGGTATAGTGGAGGTGGGGAATTGATTGCAAACGTGTGATGTTTGAGGAAGAGGCATTTGGAATTCCTTGGTGGTGGGGGTTGGGAGAGTCATAGTTGACTCATGTGACTTTTTTGGTCTCCCTGTCCTAGACTGGTCTAGAGTCTAGGAGTGTCTTGGTACATTCAGGGCCATTAGCCTTGATTGGAGCTGAAGGTCTGCCCTATATTGTTGACCCTTTGGTTTTTTTGATACTTCTCTTATGTTAATTGAATGGTGAGGTGCCTTGTTATGATCCACCTGCCTCAGCCTCCCAGAGTGCTAGGATTATAGGCATGAGCCACTGCTCCCGGCCTCATACCTTCATTATATGAGTTGCTTCTTTGGTCAGAGAACTATAGGAAAAAAGTTTTATAGACTGGAAAGAAACACACATTTTTTACTCTGGTGGAGTGCTGTATATCAATTATAGTATTAGTACTTATAAAATGGTTTATACCTTAATTATTATTATTATTTTTTGAGACGAAGTCTTGCTGTGTCACTCAGGCTGGAGTGCAGTGGCATGATCTCAGCTTACTGCAACCACTGCCTCCTGGGTTCAAGCAATTCTCCTGCCTCAGCCTCCTGAGTAGCTGGGATTACCGGTGCGCACCACCATGCCCAGCAATTTTTGTATTTTTAATAGAGACGGGATTTCACCTTGTTGGCCAGGCTGGTCTCAAACTCCTGACCTCAGGTGATCCACCTGCCTCAGCCTCCCAGAGTGCTAGGATTATAGGCATGAGCCACTGCTCCCGGCCTCATACCTTAATTATATAAGGCTGACCAAACTAGAGATTTCTAGTTTTGGGTGAAACAAAGGGCTTTTCATCTGTCTTAACATGTATTTGGATTCTAATGAATTTAAGTTCAAATAGTACAAATTATCAACTCCTTCAGAACAATTTTATTTTTCATTTTGTTCAGTGGCAGATGATAGTGAAAGATTTACCCTTGTTTTTCTTTTCCAGTATTACCAAAATTTGAAGTGACACTGCAGACACCATTATACTGTTCTATGAATTCTAAGCATTTAAACGGTACCATCGTAGCAAAGTAAGTGTCATTTTTCTTTTGATATGACTTGAAACCATTATAAGACTGTTTGACCAAAAGCTGATTATATACTTCAGAATATTAGGGCAATTTTTGCTTATTAAAATACCTTAGTGGACAGTAAACGACTATTTCTAATAAATAATTAAGCATAGGACAGATCTCTACATTTCTCTGCATCCATCGCTCTGCTTGCAAGCTGACCCAGTCCTAAAATATTTCCAATAGACTAGTGTCTTTCTTAGACTTATTAAGGGATTTATATTATAGATAGCACTTTTTTTTTCAGATGACATGGAATTGAGGTAACTTATCTTTACTTAACTTCTATTTTTTCCCACTGATAATGGAGATAGAGCTCTTGGGGGAGAGAATAGGTTGCCTTATTACAATTAACAGATGAGTAAATAATCCACATTTATCCATTACATCACATCGTATGAACACAGAGACTTCCAACCCACCTAACACAACAGATCTATGGTGGCTGTCATGCTTTTGACTCACTGTGTTGAACAACGCAAGGCATTTTGTTTTGCTGAGGCAAAAAGCGTCATCCGAGTTCCAGACTAGTGGTTCTCTGAAGTGCAGGCTGGGATTGCCCTCAAGTAATTCAAGGACTCTTCTCTTGTAGCTTGAGAGTGAAGTTCAGATTCTTTAGTTTATTTTGCAGGGCTCTTTTCTGGATTCATGTCTTTTGAAACATTCCACCTTTCTCTACTCCAGCCCATTCTCTACTGTCCCAAACTCTATTCTCACATTTTACTTTAGCTTCTAAAAATGTAAAACGCTTTTTTCTAATAGACCATTACATAGGTAATTTCAAGGCTTACTACTTGCCCCCAACCCTCCTTATAGCCCTCATAACACTAGTCACACAGTGCTGCTGTTTGCTCGTCCACCTTTCTGAACGTGGCTCTGTGTCTTATGTACTATAGCACCTTGGTGCCTACTACAGTGCCAGCCGTGGAGTAGGTATCCAATATATACCTACTGAAAGAACAAATAGGCCAGGCACAGTGGCTCACACCTGTAATGCCAGCACTTTGGGAGGCTGAGGAGGGTGGATCACTTGAGACCAGGAGTTTGAGGCCAGCCTGGCCAACATGGCAAAGCTCCATCTCTACTAAAAATACAAAAATTAGCTGGGTGTGGTGGCACACTCCCAGCTACTCGGGAGGGTGAGATATGAGAATTGCTTGAACCTGGGAGGCGGAGGTTGCAGTGAGCCAAGATTGTACCATTGCACTTCAGCCTGGGTGATAGAGGGAGACTGTCTCAAAAAAAAAAAAAAAAAAAGGAAAGAACAAATAGATAAGCAACATGACCCTTAAGATTTCAGCTCTAAGCTATATGTAGCACAGCAAAGGTCTTCATACCAAATCAAAAGCCAGATATTTGGAGTTCTGTGGATATAGAAAAAAAGAAATTCAGTTTCTCCTGTATCCACATTCAACAATTAACACAGAAGACTTCTGTGACTTCTGGTCAGGAAGAAGTGGGTGAGGATTTCTCCCCACCAAAACCCAATCAATCAGTTCTGCAGGGGACACCAGGGGGTCTCCTCTAGTTCAATTCAAGCCTGACACTATCTACTGGGAGACAGCATCAGATCATAGATGACAATTTGCTCCAAGACTGCCCCTACTCCAGATGCCACTCACAAGTAATAGATGGTCACGTATGCTTCTGACTGATTGGCTGTAAATCGGAGTTACCACTACCTTCTCTTTGGGTTTGACTAATTTGCTGGAGCTGCTCACAGGACTCAGGAAGACACTTTGCTGGCTTATTGCAAAGGATGTTACAATAGATAGAGATGAAGAGCTGGAAGAGATGCGTTGGGCGAGGCATGTGGGAAGCAACACGGAGCTTCCATGCCCTTTCTGAGCACGCTGCCCTCCCGGAACCTCCATGCTTTCAGGTCTCTGGAAGTTCTCCAGAGCCTGTCCTTTTGGGTTTTTATGTTTCCTTTTTCTTTTTCTTTTTTATTTCTTTCATTTACCACTGATCAGAAGGGAAGGTATTATTTTATAATCTTTTTGTCCTTTTTTGTGCTATGGCTGCTTTCAGAGAAAAAATTCCTTGTTTTGTTAATGATACTATCCTAGAATATTTTTATTTTTTATTTTATTTTATTTTTTAAGTGATGAAGTCTCTCTCTCACAGGCTGGAGTGCAGTGGTGCAGTCATAGCTCGCTGCATCCCCGAACACCTGGGCTAAAGCGCTCTTCCCACCTCAGCCTCCCGAGTAGCTAGGACTACAGGTGCGAGCCACCATGCCTGGCTCATTTTTTTTTTTCCTTTATAGAGATGGGGTCTTGCCATTTTCTCCAGGCTGGTCTTGAACTCCTGGCTTCACACGATACTATTGCCTTGGTCTCCTAAAGTGCTGGGACTACCGGCATGTTCCACCACTCCTGGACTGATTTGCTTTTTAAAAATTAGTCAAGCTTTTATTTTCTGAGTGATTAACTTATCCCAAATGCTTCCAGGTTCTATTTGGGACAATAATTGTATCTTTGTTTCACAATTATTATAGCCAGCTTTGTGTTTGGAAAACTAAATCTGTTTCACATTAAAGTCAAAATTAAAATTTTTGTGTCTGAGAGTACTTTAAATTATATTTGGTTTTTAAAGATCCTTTTACTATCATGTGATATAACTCTGTTAAAATACAATATCCTGGCATTCTAGTTTTGCTTTTATTTAATCTTTAGCACGATACAAGTAGAGTCAGGTTTTGAAGACTCTTGAATGAGTGAATTTGATGCTAAGGTTGCTAACCAGGGTTTCCACTGACTTTACTGTTTTTATTTGGAAGTGTGGGGCATTGGAACGTGGATTTTTTTTTTTCTTCTTAGTTTGGAATATGCTATATTTTAAGATTTGCTTTTGAGTTGAGTTGATCCAGATGAGGGGCTGTTTCTGTGTTCAGTTAATGGACTCAGGAAGCAGCCATTTACTGCTATGATTTATAGACTGCAAAGCAAAATTGACTTCCATGTCTGGCTCAGCATTTCACAATAGAGATAGAAGCAACCCAGGAAATGTACTTAAAAAAGGCTTTCTGGCAGTAAAATGTATTGCCTCTTCTTCACATGAAAA